AGAAGTTGGAAACAGACGCCGTCAAGCACGAACTCGCCAACCTCCGCGAGGAGTTTGACGACCAGAAGATCATTCTTGGAGTCGACAGGCTTGACTATATCAAAGGCATCCCGCAGAAATTACGCGCCTATGATCGATTCTTGACGGACCACCCGGAGTGGGTGGGCAAAGCCGTCATGGTCCAATTGGCCATTCCAACCCGAGAAGATGTGGACGCGTATCGAAGGCTGCGGGGGGAGGTCGAACTTCTTGTCGGCCGTATCAATGGCAAGCACGGTAGGACTCTGCTTCAAAAGACGCCGGCTTGGTCTCGTCTCCAACATACTAACCCTTGAAAATATAGCAACATTTAAGCACACGCCAATCCACTATTTACACCGTTCAGTCAAGCCGGAACAACTCTGTGCCCTGTATGCAGTCTCGGACGTCTGCATCATTTCCTCCATCCGAGATGGCTTGAACCTGGTGAGCTACGAGTATGCGGCATGCCAGGAAGAACGCAAGGGTGTCCTGATGATGTCGACCTATGCAGGCGCGATCAAGACTCTGCCCCCATCGTCCGTGATTCTTCTTAACCCCTGGGACGCACCCCGGTTTGCCGAACGGATCAACCAGGCATTGAACATGGGTATGGAAGAGAGGGCACAGAGGCACAAGGAGATGATGCACGTTGTGGATACTTGGACGAGGTGAGGAGTGTTCCATCCCCAGTAAGCACAGGGCAGATATACACGTTTATACGATGGAAGCTTACATATAAAAACCCGGGAAACAGTGTCAAATGGGGCAAAGCTTTCCTCCAAACCATGATGAAGATGGAAATTCCCAAGGATGTCGACATGCCCGACCGCGACTCGCTGCAGGAATATAATTCAGAGGTCCCGGACTCTGAGACTGGCACGATCAAACCCTAGGACCTGTCACCTAGGTGCCGTGCAACTTTACGTGCAATCAATATGTATCCAGTCACCGTTGTGCGGGAACGCCATCGATCAATCTTCAAGGGCACCCGAGCGAGCGGCGTCGAGGTCCAGCGTTTGCTCCTATCCTCTTATATCCTATACCTTTCCGATACTACATTACATTATACTATCCCATCCTCTGCCGTGATTGTAAAATCCTGGTGCGCTATCGAGGAACTACAAACTAACTAGCTGGTTTTGGGTATAGCCCCGGGTATACGTTCGATCTGAGTATAGGTTTGAGTATAGTTCTGGGTAAAGTGCTGGGTAGAGCACTAGAATCTGGGGCATGATGTTCTCCCTCCTCCTGCTGCTGCTGCTATACATTACGTGTTGATTCCTCTCGCCAATGTCATTGCTAATCTTTCGAACATCCTCGCTTGTAGACCATGAGCATTCCGACACTAGTACGGCCAGCCGATCGCCTTACCTTCAATTTCACATGCCGGTCCCATCCCATCTCCTCTCTCTCTGCCTCTTTTCGCTCTCCTAGATAACCAAAATTGATCTTCAGCTGAGCTCAGGACCAGCAAACTATCCAACACTGAAATCCCTCCTCTCGACCGCGCCGCCCATACTCTCGCAAAACTCACCCAACATCCTCCCCCACTCCGCCATCCTCTCCTCCATGTACGTGCTCTCCTTCTTGTTCTTCTTTGACAATATACCCCTCTGGCACTCCCAATCCCAGTATTCGCACATTTCCTTGCCATCGCCCGTCGTGATCGGTCTTATCTCGTGGACGCGTTGCGTTTGTAATAGAAAGCGCGGGTAGCTTCTGGGAGGGCTGTAGGAATTGGTGCTGCTCCAGACGAGTCTATACACGCCAGATATGGAGGCTGTATGAGTCTGAGTGCGCAAAAGGGATGCCCGTCCAGGTTCGTCCTGGGGGTCGTCTGGACGAGAGACTTCGGTGACGACGACACCTTGTTCCCTCATTTCTTGACTGTGGGGCAACTTTATCTTCATGTGCAGAATCATTTTCGTACCGAGTTGGATCCGCACAGAGGGCTCGCCGTAAAGGGCGTTGATGTGTAGTTGTCTCCTGTGCTGTGAATTGGTGCCGGATTTGCGCCGCGAAGCTTTGGCTGCGAGAGCAGTCGACTGAGTATTGGCGGGTGCTGGCATGAGGAGAGAGGCATTCCCGGGGGATTCGAGTAGAACCGAATTGCTGTTTGTGTTTGCAGTTGGAGGAGGTGATTGCCCGGGAGACAGGGAGGCTTTGCGGGCTTCGGTTGCAGCTTGGTATTTTTGTGCTGCGGATAATCCACCAGTGTCACCGGTGCTGCCAGTGCAGTTGGCATTTGTAGTTGAATTTGATCGCGACGGCCCATCCATGCTATTCTGTGATATTCCCGAGAACCTGCTTGCGTTGCTAGCTAACCTTTGCCTTGTCACAGGCGGAGGACTAATGGGCCGCTCAATACTCGCCGAGCCTCTACTTCCAGGCGGTGCAAGGCTGGCACCCCCGTTCCCAGCACTCGAACCAGCACGGCTTCCCCTCCTATGCGCTGTAGAATACTCAGCGCCCGGTCCTGGCATGATTGCTCCATCGGTAATGTCGGAATCGAAATTTACCGCGATGGAAGTATTTCTCACCAGCTCCTCGATTTCGGCTAGTGTGGCGTCATCCTCGTCGTCCGGTTGAAAAGTGATTGTCACACGCGGGATCCAGCGGTTCCAATCTTTCCAGGTTTCGGTGTTACGGAGGGTACGGAAGACTAGGCTAGCAGGGGCATTGATGCGTGTGCAGGAGGAGACGTAGAACGTAGCGGTGGACTGAGGTATATCAGGGGTTGAGAAGTCGGTTTTGGTGGCCATTCTGGTAGAAACTGATCCGGGGAGATTGGATCTAGCAGAATTTTCTTTTTGGAGAGGACCGTTGTCAAGAATCGCAAGGCTGGTATTATATTATATTTGGCGTATGTTTCTTAGGATTTAATGCTTGCTTTGTGGGTGTGGTTTCTGGCGCATGAGATATTTTTATACGGCTGAAAAAAGCTCAGCAAAGAGTACTCAAGGTCGAGCTAACATGACCGACAGATCGATCACGGTCGTTCTGGATGAGAAGAAATAAGCCCAACAGAGATCTGCATGCGCTGTATGGCACAACTGAAGCTGGCTTTCTAAGCGACTAGGTTGAAAGGGGGGAGAAATACAGTATTCATGGGTCAGAGGTGGCGCACGACTTTATGGCCCGACTTAGTATGGTGGTGATGTTGGTGTTGGTATTGGCAGCATGCCTTACTGTTTGGAAGATCTCAAAGATCTCAGGTCCAGAAGCTTGTCAAGTTTGCGGTGATGGATGGGAACGAATGATAAGATAGGTAGCGGTGTTGAGGATTGTGCGTATTTGGATGGGTCATGTAAGCTCAAGGACTGGTCAAGAGACTGAGACTGGTTCACCGCTTGTATAGGAGGAATGAAAAAAGATCTGAAGACGATGATGCAGTGTGGAGGAAAATGTGGGGGACGAAGCGACGAAGTCACAGCCGGAGGGGGCAGGTGCTGGCGAGGTCACGTGAATCACATGACTGCGCCACAGATGGCAAGCAGTTAATTAAGCTCCTCGGCTCTCAAGGCACTTAGATTCCTTCGAGAGTTGACTGGTGAAATGCTCTCCATCCATCTCGTGCTGAGACCGAATCAGATTCCTCAGCTGCGGGTCTTCTGAGCAACATCGTGTTTCTGAGGGTAAGGACACGACAGACCGTGGCTGATAATTCTGCAAGGCTGACAACTCCAAGAATTACGGCTTGGGGTGCGGTGAGAGGTTCAGCTGCAGACGAGAAACCAACTGACCAGAGCTTCGTCGGGCTTCTTCCTTCTGACCCCGGCCCCAGACGCCCTCCAAACTGGAAACTGGCCACACTCCAGAGTCCAGACAAATAGGCGGGACGGCCCTAACCAGAGCCGGCGAGACCCATCGATGCCGTATCCTCCCGCTGCGCATACTCCATTCCTCCTGAACAGTTCCGACTTCGTCCATTGTTGAGCAATGACCGTTTCCTGCATCATGGCAATGGAGCAAAAGAAAGCCACATCCTGCCAAATCTCGGGTCTCCTGGCGAATTGACGATGGATGGCTGTGTCTTTGCAGAATTCCGCTGCTGTCATTCGAGGATTTTGTCTGTTGCGATCGCCCGCTCTCGCCCTTTGGTATATGATTGGGTGTGGATGGAGTGTCTCGCCACAGATAGGAGCCTATCCGGCTGCCCCTCGGCTCGAGGCATACATCCCAAGCGCGGCTGTGATGTAAGTACGGAGTAGTGCTTGCGCCCGACAAAGGCCTTCAGAAACGTCGTTGGCAAGCACCTTTCCATCACTTCTCTATGCCTGGTGACACCGCAAAGAAGAGATGCAATCAGACGTACAGCACAGTACTCTTTCTGCCCAAGCTTGCTTCATGACCAAATCCCTTGCGACGGCCAGGCTGTCTCATGTCTTCTGAATCAGAGGCCCCATCCGACACGTGGTCCAGTCTCATCGCGGATTTGAAAGAAACAGTACTGGGCGACCACGATACTACAACACCTTGTTCCAGCGAGGGAGAATTCCGAGCCAATTTCGAGTCTCTCTGTGAAGACCAGCATGAACCAGATGCTCAGCGACTACTTAAGGGATTTTCTCGACAGCATGGCACGATTATAACCTTCACCGGCACTATAGACAGCGCTCAAAGTCTCCAGCCACCGGACACACTTAGTGATTTGTTCTGGCAAATTGCTTTTTCAACCATTCAGGTCCGGTCACTCAGGACGTCGTTCGGAACTTTACAGCCATGGCTAATCTGTCCAGGCCGTTCTTGATGCCGGATTGTCACTGAAAGACCTGTTTGAATAATTGAACTCCCTCAATCAAGCCCTCAAACCGTTTGGACCGCAGTTGCCGCAGTTTCCTACCCAATCCCGCGTACAAGAACCTCTTCAGGTAGTGTTCGGAGAATATATAGAGTGCTACAGCATCATGCTCAGTCACTTTGAGTCACATCCTCTGGGTGAGAAGCTCCAATCCGTAATCTGAAGAGTTCCAGGACTGATGCCGATAGTACTCGCCTTCGAAACCTTCCATTCTCGAGTAGAGACGTCAACTGAGCTTTTTGAAACGTCATTGGAGGACTGGAAAGAGATAGTGAAACGGGCTTCAGAAGAAGAGAGTAGGTCTCTGCCTCCGTTGCCATACCCGGTGGACCAGCCGACTCCTGGTTTGGATACAAGTGCGCGATTTCAATGGTTTGAACCACTGGGCACCGGCACTTACGGCCAAGTCTCCAAGGTCCGCGAGGCATCCACAAACAGCATCTATGCTCAGAAAACCATCAGGGTCCAGAACAGCAATCGCGCAAAGAACATTATTGAACAACAAGTCAAGAATGAGGTGACCATCATGCACAAGTTGCGTCACCATCACATCGCCTCTGTGCTTTTCTATGTCAAGGACGAAACTACCTTTTACATCATTATGCTCCCGGTAGGTGACTGTGACCTGCGACATTTTTTGGAGGTGAATTGTGCTGGCTTTCCTCGAACCGAGACACGGCACCTCGATCAGTGGTTCGGTTGCCTGGCCTCGGCACTGGCATATGCACATCAGGAGCGAGTCAAGCACGAGGACATCAAACCTTCAAATATACTGATCCGGGATCATCAGCCTTACCTTGCTGATTTGGTAGCGCGAAAGATTTCTCCTTGATGGAAGGCAGCACCTCGACAGACGAATACATTGTGGGCACACCAGTGTGCTGGCCGCCCGAGCCACTGCAGCAGCGAGGACGGGCAGCCGACGTCTTTGCTCTAGGATGTGTCTTCAGCGAAATGCTCACCGTAAGGCAGCATAAGTCGTTGCAAGAATACCGTGATACGCGCTATCTCCCTCACGTCGACAATCCGTATGCCTTTCGGACGAACCTAGACGCAGTTTATACCTGGCTCCAGGAACTTCCTGATAATGTCGGACCTCCGGAAGTCAGGTCTCTTCTGCTGGAGCAGACGATGGTATGTTTTCTGAAACTTCGTGTCGTTGGCCCCTGAGACGGTTGCCGCCACTTTCTTTCGCACGATGACCAATTTGCTGACGTACTTTTGGACACCGTTAGAACACGTTGGCCGCAGACCACACCCAGAGACCGGAAGCCGCGTGTTGTCAAGCGAAATTTCCGCCACGAACCAGATGCGTTGTTTTGCCTCAGCTGTTCGTGATTGGAAAGCATGAATCCTGTACGAGCGAGCATTATGAGGGTTTCTGACTCCCTTTTCCCACCAGTCTGCAACTTCAGGATGACTATGTACTCCGTATATGAGGTATGAATTTGTCTTGTTCTGCTTACAGTTCTTCTGAAGCATCCGTGGCCGACTGGGAAGCAGCTTCAACGGCTGCTTGAGGCGATTGGTTCTCTTGGAAATCGTCAATCGCATCCATCCAAGGAATCCCTTCCTGGGCGCCGATGCGTGTGATGGTCAATGCTGCGGCTTTACAAGCGCGAACGACTGCCTCTCTGATGTCCCATTGTCCCCTCTGCTTCTGTCGCAAATAATCTGTGGCGTAGGCCCCCGTGAATGTGTCCCTGGCGGCTCAGTCAGCATGCGTCGACAGTAGTTACAAGCACGTAGAGACTCGCCCTGCCCCCGTACAATCCACCACATTGACATTGAAAGCCGGGACATGGCCAAACTCGTCGGCTGTGCCATAGAAGGCGCCTTGAGCCCCAAAGTGAGCACCACGTTCTTCACCCCTTTCTCAAGGAAGTCCTCAGCAATCTCCTGCCAGGTCTCCTCATTTACCTCATCGATCTCTCGGCCAGACATGGTGGCCGCTTCTGTCTCGTTGACCAACAGGTGTGTGATATGGCGGTAGTACCTGCTTAATATGTGATTCGCCGGAGCGGCGTTGATCAGGACCTCGATGCCCGCCTCGCCTGCCGTGTCAATGATCTGCTCAACCACTGCTCGATCAATTTCCATCTGTGCAATGACCAGATCCGGTTGCCTCCCGTTGGCAAGGCTTTCGAGCTTGGTGAAATATTCGGCGGTCAATGCATCATTTGCGTTGTTCACAAAGGTGCAGCGATTTTCTCCGCTGGGGGCTGAGCATGACAAGTTCGATAGGTGGCAATAGCCGCGTTGGCTCCCTTTCCCCCTAATCCCTCATGATACTGTCTCGCTTTGTAACTTTCACCACGATCAGGTATGCGGTCGGTCATCATTATACAGTCGACATGGAGACAACCGATGACGGATATGAGCTGGGGCGCCATCGCGCCGGATCGCTCGATGGGCCGAGGGTAGGTGTGACCAGAACTGCCAGCCAATCTGCCACTTTGATAAAGGACAGCGTGCACGAAGGGGCCTTTCGTCCCCTCAACCAATCAATGGAGCTAGCGACACGGGTGGACAGAACAGCGGCTGTGGGAATCCAGTTGATAGACGATGGAACCGGTACTGCATGATGGATGCTTCACTGCAATGGTACTGGAAGCGCGCTAGGCATTGATGGAGAATCCAGGCGGGTGTAGTTAGTGACGACCTCGTTTGAAGGAAGGGAGTTCCTAACACATGCTACAACCGGTGAGGCTGGAGGATCTCAGGCATGCGGGAGACAGATACCCTGGCTGACGCACACCTGGCAGGTACAACTCACTAAGTACTGGGTAGCATCGGCTCCAGCCGTGCGTGAAAGGAAGAGAGAAGTGATAGGCTGCAGGGTGGGTTAGGGACTGGGCGAACCTCCACATGTCGAACGGAAGATTGAGGAGTTGGTGAGTAGCGGCTCCCCAGGCCGGCGGGCTCACTAGGCTATTTGAACTGACGAATTCCAGGGCCGCCCGCGTGGTAGCCCAGTTTGCAGTCTTGGGTGCTTGCAGGATGGCTGGATGGTCCCCTGCTGGGGTGCATCACTTTAACAGCTTACCCGCTAACCCTCGTGGCCATGTGGCCTAGGGCCGGTAGGGCTCCCCAGCCCGTATTGCCCGATGCCCGCGTGAGGCTAAAGCCTCCCGAGACTTTCCAATATGTGCCCTGTTACCTAGGTTGTACTGGGTACCCTTCGCAATCTACATCCATCCCCAGCACCACAGTTCGCCAACTGCTTAAGAGGATGCAGGGTACATATCCTCAACTTAGCTGCGCCCTTGCGACTACGGGGCCTGGACCCTGCGTCTCGAATCTCAGCCTTTCAAGCCATATAATATGTGCTACGGGGATCCGTGATGGGACTGCCTTCCAGACTCTCCCAATTTCAAGGCACCTAGCTTTGGACATCCTCCCAAGCTTAACGAGAACCTCGTCTCAACGAGGCCATCCATCTGTTTAACGGCCGGCGCCGTGCCTCATCTCCCACGCGGCCAACAAGGATGGAAGACGGCTGACCTGTGTGCGAGCCGTCCCCAATCCGCCTCACTTCTCTCCACGATCCTCTGTGTACAAAGGCAATCACGTCAGGTCACTTATTTGCCTGTTGTCATGTCCAGCATCTCACTCCTACATCCCTGCATGCCCGAGCTGTCAAATGCTCCTCAATTCTGCTCGAAGCAGGTCGTTTTCATCGACCTCGGTCACATGATGCCATGCTAGGGTAGTTCGACATGAGTGGCCTCGATGCAGCTGCCGGCATTGCTGGCCTGTTGACCTTGTCCTTCACCTGTTTGCAAGGCTGTATCAAAGGCTTTACCCTATTACGTCGAGCGCGCAGCCATGACCGTGATGTTGCCGGCGTGAGCTTGATGATCGAACTTGAACAACACAAGTTTCTGACTTGGGCCGAAGAAGCTGGTCTGTTCGAGGATCCGCCCGACCTGCGGGTTAACGCCCGGGACGCTCGCTACGTACCAAAGATCCTGGCTCAATTGAAGAAACTTCTGCTAGATGTGAATGGGCTGAGGAAACGCTACCATCTGGACGTCAAGGAGGATCCAGAAGAAATCCTTGACCTCGACGAGGACAATTCCGCCGGTGCCAAGCTACCGTCGCAACACCGAAAGAGCCTATCTGAACTATTTCACAACAAAACCAATTGGAGAAAATGGACCTGGATTGCCTTTGATGAGAAGAACGTGCGCATGTTGATGGATGATGTGAAGGTCCGGGTAGCCCAGCTTCAGCAGTTCCTTGACCACGAAAGGCAGGTTAGAATGGATCAGGCATTTGATGTATTGCTGCGGACGACCGTGGTCAAAACTGCCAACGAACAAGAGCTGGACGTTATCGGTCACGATCGCAGTCAGTCTTTCTCCAAGGGGGCCATTCCCGCAGCTGCCCGCTTGAAACGGCAGGGTCTCGTTTTGGGGGTTACAGATACTTGCACAGACAGTCACTCAGTCATCCAAAGGCCAGAATCTTGGAGGACCTCGACCAGGAGAGACTCACACTCTTTCCTTCCCAGCCTCTCGCTCGCGGCATCGCCTTCATTCTCTTCGAAGTCGATGAGGCTGAACTGGAACGAACTCACCGCCCCGCCGTCACAGACCGAGGTCAGTCGGTACTTCGCTTGGTATGCGCGTGCTCCTCGAGTGGAAGAGCGGTGGTGGAGGCATCAAGCTACCGCTGCTAGAGAATCGGGTGGACCGAGTTTCAGCATTCTTGCACGAACTTGACCCGTCCTTCCACAGTTTGCCCTGTCGTGGCTACATCAAAGATTGGGCTGCAAAGGACCGATATGCCTATGTCTTTGATCTTCCTTTTAGTATGTACCCTCCAACAGTGCAACAGAGCGCCGCGAGGAGCCATATGGACTTCCCATCATTGCCGAGTATGCACACCTTGCGAGATATGCTAGAACGACCGATGGAAAATCCGTCTCTCAATCTCCGACTTTCCTACGCTATTACACTCTTGGAGACGTTGCTTCAGATCCATACCGCTGACTGGCTGCACAAGGAACTTCGGTCTGACAATATCCTCTTCATCCAGGGCCCTCAATTGGGCAATGCCTCTAATGAGGATATTCTGCTTTCTCCGATATATGTTGCAGGCTATGTCTATGCCAGACTAGACAGTCCATATGAACTCACAGAGCCCACAGAGTCAGACTTCGAAAACGACCTGTATCGTCACCCGATGTCGATGGGCCCGTCCAGGGGGTCATATCGCAAGAGCTTCGATATTTTTAGTGTCGGTTGCGTCTTGCTTGAGCTCGGACTGTGGGCAAGCCTTCCCGATATTCTGCGGACTTGGTCCAGGGATGGTCATCGTGGTGTAGGCTTGACAGATGCTACCTCCAAGAGCCCGCATTTCCCATTTTCTCCTTCACTGGCCATGCTCACCCCGAAGTCATCGTCCAATTCCATCAACAGGCTGAGTCGTGACAACTTGAAGGAGAGGCGGAGTCGTGATTTGAAGTTGCAGAGAAGCGTTCACTCTGTCGACCAAGAAATGGGCGACAAAAGCCCGGCGCCTGTCTTTGACCTTCTGGAACTGCGACACCAACTGCTCCTCTCCAATTGGAATGCGGAGAGCGGTCCTAAGAACGCTGTGACGCGTGCTTCGTCTCATGGTATTCTGAAGGCGTTGAGAGGAGCGGCGGGCATCGGATATGCAAAGGTGGTGGAGAGGTTCCTCGGGGTGGTCGAGAACATGGAGGAAATTGATAACTACTCGGATCTTGTGGGACAAATGGACGAACATGAATACGCTCTCAAGTTGGAGATGGAATCTCTAGACTCTCTCAGGGCCATTGCAAAAGTCATCTGAGGTTGAATGAGACTTGTACTCGGTAAGGGATAGGGGGCGTCTAAGCCCCCGGGGTCCCGGTGGCTGGGCTCTAGTTACCAAGTAGTGTTTCAGCTTTTCAGCCTGGTCAGCCTGATGGCTAGCCTCAGTCAGGCTGGCCGCGAACGACTCTTCTGCCTTCTCGTTTATTCCTCTTGCGCCTTCCAGCATGTTGTTCGTTTACTGCAGGGCGTCTCGGCGTGGCATATTGTTGGATTCCAGCTGTAAAAAAAGCTCTGGCTGTTGTTCTTTGTACATGGGGTGAACCCGGCCACTTTGAATCATGGCAGATGCGTCTTTATCCAGCTCTGCTTCTGAAACTGCCACCCCTGCGGCAGACCAAGCTGCATCCATCGTGGACGACCTTTTCAGTGATGAATCGGATTTCCATGGTAAGCTTAGTCTAGACCAGTGCTGCCTGGACCTTGCAGGGCTTGACTCTGATCTTAACTCCACCACCAGGGAGCCAGAAAACCAAGTCAACATACAACAGGCTGGCTGCATCATACAATCCCCAGAAGTACTGGACGATCCATGAATGGAACACTCAAGTGGCTGCCGCTCGGGGGAAGAAAGCGAAGCACGAAGCCGCCAGACAACGCGCAAAGCTTGCACTGAGGAAGCCACAGGCAGTTGGGCCAACCCCAGGCAATCGTCCAGGTGACCAGCAGCACACTGGGGAACAGAGTCAGGTGAATGCAGATCGAGCGGAGGACATAGAAATGAAATTCGACACCAATGCCAACCTCTCCACTGCCGCGGAACAAGATGCCGGCGACGAGGATCGCGAAGACAGCTCCCGCAAGCCGCAGAACTTCTACGAGGGCCTCGCCTCTGCAAAACAACTCTCTGAGTCTGTTGCCGATTTCCTCACCCGCCTGCCTCCCTCGACAACCACCTCGGTCTCCGCCCGAGGCCACCATTGGATTTGGATTGCGAACCCGTATCCTGCACCGGGCAGACGCTCTCCCGGGCAAGCGCGAAACACAAGCTCCAATCCAGAGTCTGGTGATGGCGACGTAGCCACTTTCCGCCAACGCGGCACACGTCTTCTGGAAGCGTACCTTTCCCGCAAACACGAGGTCGAGGACCAGAATCCCGGGAAACCCCCTGGGTCCATTACGCGCATGTTATGCCCCGAGCGCGTCAGGCTGGAATCCGATATCAGGGAGCTAGCCAAGGCACAACGTGTCACATCGGGGAAGTGGATGCTCTTCCCACAAGAGGGTGAAGTTGACCGGGTATGGGCCGTTGTTGCCCACGCGGTCTGGGAGGGGAAGTTGGGCACAGCTGCGAAGGTGGCGACCGCAAAGGGCGAAGGAGAGATCATGATTGATGACGGTGGTGGTAGTGGTGGTGGCGGGCAGGACCGAGATCAGAGATTGATATGCGTCTACACCCAGGATTTCTCCGATCAAGCAGACATCAAGCGAGTCCTACGCGCCCTGAAAGATCTTGGCTTGCTCCATCTCCGCCTCGACCGATCCAACGGTGGCTTCAAGACAATCTACTACAAATGCGACGCGTACACGCATCTTGACCTGTCCAGCGGCAACGAGTACAAGTTGAAAGCGAGCTTGTGCTCCTCCAGGGACCTGTTTCCGGAGTGGTACAAAGGGGCCAGCACAAGCACCAGTAGTGGGTACGGGCGTTGATGTGTCTATTTCCCTGGATCCAGGTTCTCAGTATTGCTTCTTTTGGTGCATCCAATCGCCGCAGCCTTCGTTCGTGGACTCTAAGCACTGTTTTGAGCGGCATGCTCGGGCGGCTAGATTCACCGAAGTCATTGCTGGATCAAGCGTGATACCTCCTGCCATGATGTTGCCCCCCGTCACAGCAGTTTCGTTGTTAGCGACAGCGCAAAGATCAGGCATGAACCTGCCATCGACTCGAAGAACTCGTGTGTGCTCGCCAGTCGAGAGACCAGTGTGCGTACTCCCGCAACCTGTGAAACCCTTGACTGTCGAAATGCCCAACACAAATAGACATTGATGTGTGATGTCTTTCTGAGCAGCCAGGTCCCTTTCTCAACGTGCTGGGACGTCAGCATTGTTATCTTACTGTCAAAGTCCACACTATGCCAGCGGAAGATAGAGTGGAGAGACATATGGCATTGATCCAAACGGATACATCAAAGGCCCTTGGACTAAGTATGGTGGTGAATATATTCCACGCGCAGCGCCAGTATGAATCTACCTGACTTTTTTGTCCCAAGTCCACTGGAGAAATTGACAAAGGTTGCCTGTAGAGGCTCAATCTGAGCCTCAGCTCTCGTTTTCCGGCCTTTCTCACTCATAGACGTACATCACCATTTGTATTGACCTCAACGGACCATTTCTCAGCTTCAACATCTTCTCTCCCATCCTACTTTAGGTCCAAGACATACTTCTTTCAGAAGATGAAGCAGAAGCAGAAACAGGCATGGAACCTAGAACCGGCATTACGAAAGATTGCGCGGTGGCAGTCCTTATCACCATTATAACGACTGTGGAGCGCAATCCAACCCTCCAAGAAGCGCCCAATCAGAAGCATTCGAGCCGTCTCTCGCCGGGAAGGAGAGGTAAATGCGCTGGTTTTCAGCTATCTCCTCGTATGTCGTAGGCACATGTGCTCGGTACTGGAGGTATTGACATGGCCAGCTGGGCAATCAGAACGTGTGCCGAAGTCAGCAAATGTACCCCGGGCTGATGTGCCTAGCCTGGTGAGCATGGATCTAGAGGAGAAAGACGAGGGCCGCGTATTTGAAGGAGCATACCTGTTTCTACACCATACTGGCCTATGTCCCACATGACATTCTCAAAGTCGAGCTCTTACAGAGCCCGGATATAAAGGTTTGAACTATGTTTTGCTAAGTCTGTGTCCGTGGCCATCATCGACTCATGCAGTTGGATGATTTTCACCTTCCACGACGAAATACTGGGTCTAGATTTCTCGAGGAGCTGTCGATGGATTACTGGGGATCAATGAGGAAGCCAGAGGACGTGCCATCGTTGTGCAACCAATATTCTACACGTCCAATGGAGTCCGAACGCTTCAAAATCATCAACCCAATCTTCGTTGATAGCGTGGCGTTGGTCTCTGGCGCCGGTTCTGGTAAGCTTAAAGTATGCAGACCCCGTCTTGGTCCTACAGCCAAGACTAAACAACACGCTTCTAGGTATCGGAAGGCAGATTGCACGGGAATTTGGACGCAACGGGGTCAACAAGCTCTCCTTCGTGGATATTTCCAAGCTAGGCCTTCAAGAGACGAAAGAACTCCTCTCAGAAGGTGAAGGGTCCGTGTGAGTTGAGATGTTCGAGGCAGAACATCACAAGCGAGTCATCCGCGAAAGGCATGGTCGCGAGGTGCGTCGACGTCAACGCCGGCTAGATATCGCAGTCAACAACGTCGGCAAAGGAACATGGAACATGAAAACAGCTGAGGCTACCGTTGAAGAGTTCGAAAGCATTTGCGCCGTCAATTTGTATAGAGTAAGTCACCCCTGCCTTCCTCCAGAGATGCATCACTGCCATTTCTCACAATCACTCTTCCGGAAGTAAGCTGCTACAACACCTCAAACACAGTGTCGTCGGTATGTCACACTTTGATGCAAAAAACTTCGTCCCTCCAGGCATCAGGGTGAACACAGGGTGAACACAGTGTCTCCTGGACCTACCTGGACACCAATGATCAAAATCTCGGGCATCCCCCAGGAGGACAAAGACGCAGGCACTGGTCTCTCGCTCATGCACCGAAGGTATGATATAGCTGAGATTGCCTCGGCGGTATTGTTCCTAGCCGGCACCGGTGCCCCGGGAATAACAAAGCTGGATCTCTGGGTGGACGGAGGAGCTCATCTGAACGGCACTCTGCACTGAGCGAGCTTTGCAGGGGCATGCTGGTGGGCAGCGTGTGGAACTTTAGGCCGGAAAAATGTGGCTTCGTTGTCACCTGGGGGGGGGGGGGGGGTGGTCAAACAAGAAGGGAGTGAAGTTGAAAAGGAAAACATCGGAAACGGTCTTACGGGTTCAGGGGCTCTGGAATACTTAGGTTCTATGGGGAGATTTTGGGTTGGCGTTCAAAGAAGGCATTTTATAAAGTAAATATTCGAGGCAGTCAGTGGCTTTCACGACCTGCAACTCTCCAACTTGCGAATTCATGTCATAATTGCGCCAGAACAGTCGACGATCTCCTGTAAATAGTAAACGCGTTTCACAGAGTCTCCGTCCCTCCGCAGTCGACGTGTTAGGAGGAACTTCCAAAAACATTTTGACGTTTGTGACCGCCGGACAAATCGACGAGGATTCAAGGCGAATGGGAAGGCCAGATTTACCGCGAGACAGTTGATGGTTAGAGGGATTGGGATAGCGGTCGTGTGATGGATGGCAATTGTCAAAGTTACGGGACTGTTGCTCTTCTGATAGTGGTGCACGGCAGCATGTATGCATGTATGTATGTATGTGTGCGGTTACTCTGTACAGAAGCCGATATACAGAACACAAAAGGAAGAGGGAGACGAGATTTGGTTCGAAACGTGAAGCGTGAAAGGGTGAAGGGATGGAGGCATAGAACGGATGAGGAAGAGATGAGGTCCTTTTCCAGCCTTGTTTGTATGTTTGTATTGAGTTATCCATATGCTCTGCCGTCTGCCATCTGCCACCGTGACACCTGTCTTGCTTGCCTGCTTCCCGCCTTCGCTCCATAATCGTCATCGTCATCATCATATTGCTTCTGGTCTATGCTGCTCCCTGCCTTCCGCTGATGCATAAAAGCACGCAAAAGAATGGAAAAGAAAGAAAGATTTCGAGATGGTCTCGATCATGCAGCCTCCAAGCCGAATCAACGTTCCCTCTCCCGACACAAGATAGAGCTTTCGTCGGGTTCGTGCCTGCCCATCCGCTTGCACATCTGTACAGCAGCCGTTTGGTTTGGGGATGAAGAGTCACGAGACTCTTCATTTCTTGGCCTTTTTGGCCTGCTTCGCGCCGCCCACAGTGCCCAGTGCTGCTTCTCTCTGCTTGGCCTCGCGTTCGTACCTCTCTTTGTCACGGGCTTCTTTTTCCTCCTTCTCAGCCTGCTTCCGCGCCGCGGCGGCCTCACGTTGCTCTCTGATCAACTTGAGCCTCGCCAGATCGGCGCGTGCTTCGTCGGTCTTGCCTTCGGCGTGTAGCTTCTGATATCTCTCTCGAGCTTGCTGGGCAGCAATGGCTTCTCGTTCCCGCCTGCTGAGATTCTCCTTGTCCGCCTTCTTTGGCGCTTCCCCACTGGCGCCCGCAACAGCTCTTGCCTGCGACCTCGCCTTCTGCGTGTGATTGGGGTTTGCGGGCATATCGTCGTCTTCCTCTTCCTCCTCCTCCTCGTCGGAGTCACTCGGCAGGTCCCCTACCGCGGCGGTCTTCTGGTTTTTTTTGGCAATGGCTTCTTGTTTTTTCTTACGAGCGAGCTCTTTGCGTTGTTCTCGAGTCAGTTCATTTGACGGAGGCTGCGCTGCGGAAGCTCCCTCGCCGGAGTCGTCTGAAGATTCTTCTTCCGATGACTCTTCTTCTGAGGACTCTTCTTCTTCATCTTCTGCTTCTCGCCACATGCCCATCTGATTTCCCTCCTTGTCTAGAGGCTGTAGGTCACGGGAGAAATGCTTGCCACCTGCGATTCGGAGTCAGTCACCTGGAGTGTACGTGGGTGAAATGAGGGAGTACGTACCTCCCCTGGTGGGCTTTGAGAATTTTCCTCCTCGTCCTCGTGGAGCCATCGTTGAGAGTGCGAGGGGCAAGCGTACGGAGGTAAATATGTCGTCCGGGAAGTAGCGTAGCGGGGGAGTCAGGTGTGGCAGGCGGCTAATCCCCAGTAGTAAGGTGGACAGAGATCTTTGGCTGGGTAGCTAAGTCTGCAAGATAGTCGGTCCTTGAAATGGTGATCAGCGAAACTTTCGTTCAAGCTTGATAAGAACCAGAAAACGCGGGCATGTGACTTGGACAAAGGGCGGTGGCTCTCGAGGTTGCAATTCAAAGATTTCTTTGTGCCCAAACGCGGGGGAGAGGGAGAAAAAAGGGGGGCGGAATAGAGTGGAGGCAACCTACACAACTTCTCAACGACAGATGTTGCGGGCACAGAGTCCACCGGAGACAGTGAGGAAGAGGAAGGGAAGGAGAAAGGCACTTGTTGAAGATACTGGTGAGAGAAAGAAACAGAACAAGAAGAGGCGGGAGGCAACCAAACATGATCCAAGTGACAAGTCCAAGTTGCAGCCAAAACCGCTGAGCTGTCACTGGAGCCACCAGCCTCACTAGCCTCGCCCAACCAATCAGAAGGGAGCCAAAGCTGTGTCGTGGCGATACAAGGCTGGCGCTCCTGAAAAGCTCCAGTCCACCCAGTCCGAGGGGAGTCGTCCATCCCTTGCTTGAGTCTTAGGGAAAATATCCCCCGTCCCCGGATATTCTGAGATCAGAGAGTTCTAGCTCCTCCTGAGATGGGGACGCCTGCGTGAGGAAGCCCCCGCCGCTCCAACCCTCGTGCAGCAGCAGCCATCCGAGCACTCAGAGACTCTTCTCACAGCTTTTCTCGCTTCCATCCTACGGCGACCCATCTGACACAGAGCAAAACCACGGCCGCCGCGATCATGCTTGTTGCTGAGAACAGTTGTAACCCAGTAAACTTCCCTCCGTCTCTCTGGACCAGGGCCCCCGCAATAGGTGGTCCTGTTAAGACTGCCACTCCCTGAGACACGCTGTTAGCGATGTTCTTTCGTAACAGTCTCTGCGAGACCGAAAGCCGACTTACCACGATGCTAAATCCCATGCCGGTGCGCACGCCTGCCTTTTTCTGGTCTCTTGTTAAGCTGGTAAGCACAGCAGGGAACAGAGCCTGCAGGCCGGCGGCCACGACGCCATATATAACAGAGAATATCCACAACCCAGTCACCGAGTGCACTGCAATCCAACAGTAGAGAATGATGCCCGCCACGGCAACCATTGGAATCATCAAATTCAGCGGCCCGACCCATCTCTGAGCGATATATGCAGGGAGGATCCGCGAGGGCACTCCCACGCCGTTCATGACCATCAGCAAGTTGATACTCGTGGCTTGGCTGGTCCCTAAAGCATCCCTGCCGAATGTGCCGACGAAGAAGAACCCAACGTAAACAGACCAAAAGTAAAGGAATGAACCGATGATGTACAGTGTATATGGCGCCTCCCTGAAGGCTGACCATTCCACCACCGGCCCGGATTTTCGGGGCGGCAAACGCGGCTATCAAAGCACATCAGCTTCATGACCTCAGCGAAGGGGATCGATCAGCTACTTACTTTCAGAAAGATAAACGCCACAATGGCGAGAGTCAGCTGCACAAACGCCATGGTGCGAACAGTCCAAGGAAAGCCAACCTTGGGCAACATCGTTTCGGCGATGGCTGGAAACACGAGGCCGCCAGTCGCCGAACCTGTCACGGCGATCCCCAGAGCAGTTGACCTTCGCTTGAGGAAGTAGGTGCTCAGAAGTGCCAGAGTCGGGACAAATGCCAATCCATATCCAAATCCAACGCAAAGAGTCTGGGCGAGGAAGATTTGCCAGTATTCTCTACACAGACTGAGCAAAAACAAGCCCATCACGTAGATCACACTTCCACAGATGTATTGAATCTTGAAGAAGCCTGCGTCGAGAGCTCTCCCGGTAAAGGTCCCCATACCAAACAGCACAAACACCTGGGTTGTCCCAATCCAAGCCACTGAGCTAGGACCGCCGATCTTCATTACCCCGACGTAGTAGGTCTGGAACACCCCAAAGCTGTTGATAAAGCCCCAGGTATTGAACATGACCAAATGCACAGCGACGACCATGGACCATGCTCTGAAGCCTCCATCCGGGGGTGGACCTGGGTCGGCAATATCGGGCGCCCGGAGTCTGGAGAGCGTCTTCGAAAGGACGCCTCTGGGCTTTTCCGAGTTCGAGGTTGTCAGATGGATGCCGCTAGCGGAAGTCTCAATCTCGACCTTTTCTTTTTCACCCACCGTTTCCATCTGAATTCCCGCTATTTGCTCCGCTTCGACTACGTCTGCCATGGGTGTTTGTGGATGTCAGGCAGCCGCTTAACTTTGAACCGAAGAAGAGCTTATGGCCATTGGGTGCCCTCCGGACCGACCTCGCTACGATAGGACATGATGAGAAATGAAAGCAGAAGAGCACACGAGACACGGCCTGGGTTGGCAACAATTGAAAGGTCTGGAGGATGGAGTGGATGGTGTCGACGACTCAATGATTAAAGCCCCAGACACCGATTTGTGCCCCCGCACCAGGGCAGAAGCCGCGATATCCGTTTCCTCGACCACTGGCGGTCCCTGCTTCTCACTTGCGACCATCTCTCTGCGTCCTGGGAAGTAGCGGGGTCCTTCTGACCTGGCATGGGAGGAAAGGAGCGAAGCACAGCACTTCGCCGCACAGCAGGATCCATCAGAGCGAGCTTGAAGACGAGATCTGCCGGATATTTCAGAGCCCAAAACCTAGGGGCAGGACCAGCAAGCGATACAACGACTCAATCGGGTAACAGGGCGTGGTGGGCTGTTTGGGCTCCGAGGCTCACCATTGCCAATGGTCCGATGTTGATGGAGAGAACAGCGATGCCGGCAGCTGAAAAACCAGAGGATGGAAATGAAGTACGGAGAAAACTGCCGGTTTGGGATGTGTGGAAGGCCTGTACTTTTGAAAGGCAGCGGACTCCTTAACCACGACTCCTTAACCACGACTCCTTAACCACGACTCCGACAAAGTGTCATCGAAGTGTCGGCCCTTTTTACCTCGTACACCGCCTACGGTGTCTACAGTGTCCTATCCAGATCAGTGGATCACCCGCTGACCGCCCGTTAACTGCTTACTTCCAAGCGGGAATCAAGGCCAGGACAGCGGCAAATCATACATTCCTAGCTGGAGGGAGACTCTTGGTCTGTGAAATCAGTTCGAAGCGGTCTACATGAAGGCCCGAGTCGCAACAACAGCAAAGTTTGTAGTTTCTATCACCGTGACCTGTTCTGTGTCCTTTGTCTTTGGATGATATGACCACCGGCTAAAGCGCCCTTTTCCAATGAGATTCGTTGTCCTGTCGTTTGTATCTCAGGTTGATAATGCATGCGAGTCTCACATTTACCTCCCTGCTTGTGAGACAGGTTTCGCCACTCTGAACGATTGTTCGCGCACACTGCTGTGGCGTTTATCGACTAATAACCATAATGCCAAAAGGAGCACACCATCCTAGCACCTCGACTCGGCACGCTACAAATTTTCCGTCTTGTTCAACGCGGCGATAGTCGCGATAACATCACTTGGCTCAAGTAAGTGCCATGTCGCCAGGGTGCGTTTGCTGCTGGCGCCCACCGTACACGCGAAGACGTGTTCTTTGGGGAGATCTGTCTTCAGGAGGGCCCGGAACATATCTGCAACAAACATTATAGTTAGTCAAACTGTGGCCCACGTCCAGGGGGATGTGGGACCGTTTGATCAAAGACTCACCTTCGTCGGTCTGGTCATCCCCTAGACACAACACAAACTCCGGCGGTTCACCGCTCGCATACCCGTATTCATTAATCAACCTCTGCGCAATAAAGCCCTTGTTCACAAACTGCGGCCTCACCTCCAAGTTGGCCTTGCCACTCATGACTTCGACATCCCAGTGCTTCATTACATTCTCCTCCAATGCTTTGCGACACTCCCTTGCCTGGAAAGCGCCGAAATCGGGGTCAGCTTGTCGATAGTGCCACGTGAGCGCAACCCGTTTCTTTTCGATCCATGACCCCTGCGTGCGTTCTGTGTAGTAAGAAAAGACGTCCATAACTTCTTTCTGCCACCCCATGTCCATCGCGGCAGCGAGGTTTTCCCACGTCTCCGACCCGGGGCGCCGGAGGAAACAGCCGTGTTCGGCGCTCAAACCTAGTTCGGTGATGTGACCCATCCATTCTTCGAGGAAGGAGGCGTCGCGACCACTGATGATCCAGACATTGTTGCGTGGGTCGGCCGCGAGAGCCTTGAGGGTACGAATGACTCGGTCAGACGGGATTGCCGCGTTGGGGTCTTTGACAATTGGTGTCAGTGTGCCATCATAATCGAACATAAACAGCCGTTTCTTCGCAGCGTAGTATTGCTGGATCATACGATTGCGGTCCAGTGCGGGTGTGAGATCGCTTTGCGTGAAAGAAGTGAGGTTGGTGAGCAAGCGTTTAAGGAAACTGTTCGACCATGTTGCTACAGTGTGTGTCGTCACGTAGTTGTAGAGTTTCTCATGATTGCTCTTCTTTTGGACTTCGGGCATCTCAAGAGCCTGCTTCAGTGCGTCGGCCACCCCACCCAGGTCCCATGGGTTGATGTGGATGGCATTGCTCAAGCTCGCTGCAGTCCCGGAGAACTCTGACAGAATCAACGGCCCGTAATTGTTTTTCTGGCAGATGACGTATTCCAAGCTGGTGGTGTTCATCCCGTCTCTGACACTGGTGATAAGTCCCACGTCGGCGACCCGGAGAAGAGCAAAATATTCTTGTGAGGAGAGATACTGTGGGTAATGCTGGACTGGAGAATGGCTCAAGGATCCGTATTGGCCGTTTATTCTGGAGACCAGATTTGAGATCTTGTGTTCAATCTTGTGTGCTCCGTCTACTTTCTCTTCCATCACGCTCGTCGGACTTGTCACCTGGATAAGGACCACCTTGTCTCGCCATTCCGGGTATCGTTCCAAAAAGATCTCGAACGCCATCAATTTTTGCGCCACCCCTCTGACGGTGTCGAGCCTGTCGCGACCAACAACAATCTTCTTGCCGGAATACATCTGTTTCAAGGCCACCATGTTTTGTTCTATTACCGGGTCGCCAAAAGCTGTTTTCTGCACGGCCGCCACATCGATACCGATGGGAAACACATCCACGGCAACGTGAGCCCCATATGCATCTACGCCTGCGGAACTGGACTCGAAACCCAGGATGCGTTTGCAGCAGGAGTTGAAATGCCGAGAGAAGCTGTATGATTGAAAGCCAATCATGGTCGCGCCGAGAGCGCCGGTCAAGATGTCTTTTCTCCGGGGCAAACATCGCATGTATTCGCTACTAGGGAAAGGAATGTGCAAGAAAAAGCCAATGTAGATGTTGGGGATTCGCTGACGCAGCATGCTTGGGAGTAACATTAAGTGGTAGTCATGAATCCAAACAATGTCCCCGGGTTGATAGATGTGTAGGATTCGGTCGGCAAAGGACTGATTCATCTGCACGTAGTCTGCCCATGAAGTCTTCTCGGCGCGGCCATCATCAGGGCCGTGGTGTCGATAGTGGAAAAGAGTGTAGAGCTCGTGTTCTGCATATTTGCGCCACCGGCTTTGGTCTTTGAAGATGAATTCGCCATCCTCTTCGACCTGGCCCTCGGGTAGCCACACGGGGAGAACTTTGCCGTTAGGGTGTTGCGCCAGGATTTTCTCCAGGCGATTGCGATCAGAACGAGGCACTCGAAGATGGTCTGGATGGGGAACGTGGGAATTTGGCGTGGCGCCGTTGACTGGATAGGGGGCGGCAGACTTGTTGATGGGTTGGGGAGCTTGCGCGGCCGCTATTGCTGATGCCGCATCTGTTTGCAATATACTGATGGCTCTCGCTTGTTGTTGTGTGCGGATCTCTCCAGTCCATCCGACCAAGGTGTGGTTCCAGGGGGTTTTGTCCGACGAGAGGTATGCGAATGAGTCAAACAATGCCGAGGTTCCGCGTCGATTGGATAGCGCCCAGTCACCGTTTGCCCTATGTGTAAGTTGATAGGGAATGCAGAAAGTAGCACTGATGACATTCCCACTCAGGCGCAGACCCGGGTAGGCCGTTCGCGGGTCAGCATCCAAGGCCTCACTCCCTCTGGAGTCAACAAGGCTGAGCCGGCGTAGTAGCTCCTTTCCAGACCTTGCCCCTTTTGCAACCTCTGCAGGAGATTCTGACGCGGCAGACTCATTGGTGGACTGCCGTTGAGGCAGAGAGAAATAAGAGGTTGATGGCCGCTCTGGTTGTTCTGATGATATCCTGCCCGGTTCGCCTGTCAACTCGGGCCTCTGGCTTGGAGGATCATTGTTTGAACGAAGGACTTGACCCGGCGCAGTTCCAACTGTATGGGTGACCATGATAGCACTGCTGAACTGAATTGTAGAAAGAGAGTATGGATTAGAACACGTAAGAAGAGGAAGAAGCTGCTAGAATATCAGGATCAACCCCTTCAAACCGAACAAGGAAAATTTAACGCTAATCACCAGCTCGGTGAAGGAGTGAGATGTAAGTGAGGCCAGGTGGTGACAGCGGGGTAAGTGAGGGTAAAAATAACGACACAGGAAGTCGGGGAGTATAGAGTATAAGATGAAAAACAAGGGGATATAGTAAGGATTGAGAGAAGTGAAAAAGGTACCTTTGAAGAAGCGGCCGCAAATTTTAAGACGAGGCACAAGGCTCATGCGATGATGTCGCATACGAAAAGGACGCTGTTCAGAAGGAGCAAGGTGGAGGGAGGGGTTGATCTAGAGCTTTGGCTTCTGACTGGGTGTTACTTCGGAAGACAATCCCGATTCGACAGGGTTCGTCTTATACCTGGCACCTTCTAGGCTGAGGGTGAGGATAAGGATGAGATGAGGACAAGAAGTGGTGGAGGTGGCTCAGATACAAGAGACCAGAGGCTGCAAGAGTGTTCACTCAAGCATTGCAACTGTCATATCTCTTAAGCTTCCTCCTTTTTCTCTTTGATGGCTCCTAAGAAATCCGAGAGTCAGGCCGGAGGAGGATGAGGTGAGGGACAGCTCTCAGCGTTGTCCGTTGGATCTCTTGCACCGCATGGGAGAGGATTGGCTGTGCCAGGCAGTGTGCTGGATCTGCTGGCCCTGGTCGAAGGACGGAGAAGGACAGATGGAGAAGCTCGGCCACGACACGCAGCCAGATCATTCGTTGGCGGCCGCTGTTGGGAAATGTTTTGTTGCTTGACCAGGGAAAAGTTCGGAATGATGAAAAGACGTTGACAGTGGGGGCCACCAGGGCCTGGACCATGTAGGGGCCACTGAGCACTGCCAGCTGCTAGGGGTTGGCTTTTCTAATAGGCGTCGGGCTTGCACTGGCGATAGTAGTGGCGGTGCCCAGCTCACCTACTTGGTAAGTACAGTACAAGTACGAGGTACAAGTACCGGGTACCACAAGTAGGCCTGTGGGGCATGAATCGGGCAGCCGCCAAGGAACTCATCAGTTCCCTCTGCATACCCTGCCTCCGTACCTGCGCTTCGTGTTCTTTTTTCCATAGAAGCCGGACCGGCACCGCAATCGACATCGCATTGAGGACAACCACTGCACCGACCGAAAAACACGACGAATACGCTCATTCTCTGAATATCTACCTTTTGTCCTCCCTGCTGTCGCCTGTATCTGCAGAATATTCTCTCTGCGCCGTTCCTATGCTGCATGCCACCAGTCCACCAGTCCGTCTACCGAAGTGCAGTCGTTCGTCGTCATGATTCTTCAATCTACATCAGTCTCCCATCCTATTCCTTCAGATCGATCCCTCGACGTCAATCTCCATCCTTGGCCAATACCTTAGCACAGCTCAAAGGCATTCACACCTCTCAAGATTCTCCGACTTCCTTCACAACTGAACCGAACATTGACATCAAGAGTCTGCACAATACTCTACGTGCACATCGCGAAGCAAACCGTGCGTCGGTTGTCCGAAAGACCTACAATGATCGTCCATCGGTTCGCTTGTCTGATCCCGATGTAGGGTTGCCATCTCTGGAGGTCAAGACTCTCACACCGCGAAAAGTGGCTTCCCGGTTCAAGAGGGTAGAACTTGCCCCATTCAAAGCATTCAAAGGCACGAGTCGCAATCTAGACCTATTGTGGCGGATCGATGATACCGAGAAGAATCCTCCATTACACTTTCGCCTACCTTGGCTCCGTCATCTCCACGACCCAGAGTCGAGCTCCTGCACCTCCGCGGTTGAGCGACTTGCCGATGAGATTCGCGCATTTGAGAAGTACACATCTCCTTCAGAGGAAGAGCAGCGTGCTGCTGACGACGCTTTCCATGATCTTACTGAATGCATCAAGGAAATCGCAGACGACCTTCATGTCGATATGATCGGATCTCGTGCAACCAGCCTGGCAGATCCTTTATCGGATCTTGACATTAATATCTCCAGCTCTAGGCGCTCAGGCTCTCTGACAAAATCCGCCCAAGTGTCTTCTGTTGCTGTCCTAAACAAGCTATGTAAGACCTTTCGTTGGCCCCCTAAGACGGCCAATCTATTCCACTTCCGCCCCATCGAAGTCCAGCTCTATCTCAAGCAAGCTCGAGTGCCCATTTTGCTTTGTCAACACAAGGCGTCGGGGCTGCCGATTCAGATCCAGTCTACACCCCGAACATATGACAGTCGGGAATATGTGAAAGCATCTTTGAAGGAATATCCAGCTCTGAGAGGTCTTTTCAAGGTCCTCAAACAACTCCTGCAAATGCGTGGGCTCAGCGTCGGCAGCAGCGGAGGGATCACATCTTATCCTCTTTTTCAGATGATTGTGGCGGCCCTCAAATTCTCTGAGGGCAAGTTCCACCCTGCGGATGTAGGCAACCAGTTCCTTTTCTTCCTGGACTTCTACTCGGACATCGACTTTTCTACGCATGGTATTTCTACTCAACCTCTTGAGGTATTTTCCAAAAATCTTGTGCGTCCCCGTGATCATCATGAAGGTCCCAAAAAGGCAGTCGCCAGGACTCGTATATGCGGTGAAGAGCACTCCGGTTCGCGCCAACTGACCTTCGATGAACATGGTCGAAGGCGGTCTCGTGAAGGGATGGAATATTTGATGACGCTTCAGGACCCTGTGAATCCTAAAAACGATCTTGGGAAGTCTGGTTTTCGGATCAACGATGTGCAGGAGACATTTATTGCCATTCGGGCGGCGCTGAAGGTAGCAATGGAACAGTGGGACAACAAATCGCAGATGTGGCAGCATTCGGACCGGCGAACAAGAGTGCGGTCCCTGCTTGAACCTTGTGTGGGCGGCGATTACCGGATATACGAGCACGAGAGAGACGACTTGCGTCGTTTAGGACACCATTCATTGGAAGCGACCAGAGCCGCCGTTTTTGGAGCTTCATAAGCAGTGAGGTCCCAATTGGCTGTTGGCACCCCAACTTGCTCAATGCACACCAGGCTGTTCTTGTTCCGGGCCTAACCATTCGTTTCGGCCCAGTATTTATTTTTGCTCGAAAATCAAATATAAAGGGCAAAAGCAGGTGAGAAGACCGGTACTATTCTCCGCTCAGCTCCCCCTTGAGCCCCGCGAAAACTCATACGACCCTTGGACCTGCTCAACTCCCTCCCCACCACTCAACCAGCCAACCCGATCTTTGACAAATTGTTCCACTCGGGGCTTCAGCTTTGTCTCATGCAAGTGAAAGTCATCCACTGTACCGATGCGCAAGACGAGCTTGTCTGGAAAAGCCGAGCTGATGCGATACATGAGCGTGCCACACGTGGAGCAGAAATAGTTGGTCATAGTGTGCCCGGTGGCAATGGTTTTGGATTGGGCAAATGCGGTCAGGTTTCCTTTGCCACGCAGGTGGGTTACGTTCACGTCGGCAACGATGAAGTTGGATGCGAACATGGAGGCGGTGATCTTGCGGCAGTCGGTACAGTTGCAGATGAAGCTGTCAATGAGACCAGGCTTCGCGATGGGAAATTTGAGCTGTACGGCGCCGCAGAAACAGGTGGCTGTCGCTTCTCCCTCTGTGGACCAGCCATCATCGGCACTACCAGCAAGAGGAATGTAGGGCTCCGACTTGTTGGTTCCTTCTTTGCCGGACATGGTTGTTTGCTTTTGTATAGCCGATAACCGCGATGTACGATTCGATGTCAACATAGACCCTTCTGCTAACTTCCTGATAGAATGGTATTGTTTAAGGAGGCTGCTGAGGTTGAGGTCGTCTCTCTCGTCTGGCGATGAAGTTGCGCTCTTAAATAGGCCAGCCAGACAACGGGCTTGACATACCCGGGGGTTATACAGTCACCGAACAGCTGAGGACGATATTCAATTTGTCATACTCGAGCGAGCGACCGAATCGTAGAACCAATGGCTCCTACACACCAGTTTCCTCTCTTGGCTGATATTTTCCTTTTCCATATGAGGAGGGATATCTAATATCGGATGACCTCTATGGTCTAGGTACGGAGTACTCATTTTTGCCTCTATGGAGCCATACCTCATTTGTCTTGATATTTCTATATCAGGAAATTGGGCTGTCTTTTGCCGCAGGGCACTCGGTACATGGGTGATTGCCTGCAGACGCACACCTTCTTATCCTTACAAATCGGAACTGTCGAGAGCCATTCGCAGCAGATCCAATTGATCTCAACATGTCCAGTGGCCGCCGAGCTGTTAACTTGTGCAGGTAGATGACCCCTCGCCAAGCGCGCCTATTTGGTTACGGCATATCCTGGCCTCACCACACTAATAGGACGCCGAATGACTAACTCGTAACTCTTGCGGCTCGTTAGGTTATCAGATCAGACTGGGCTCGGGGGCAAGAAGTTGCAGCCTCAAGGTCCAGTCACATTGGAGCGTATCTGCAATGGATATTTGACACTCAAAGCGGCTTCAGCAAGTCTGAATGAATTCGTGCGGTGTCGCCTAACATGTGACAGTGGCCTATCGGCACAGGACTGGGCCAGGACTGGCTCACGTTGCACGCTGCTCGAGCTATCCGGGACTGTGGCGCTTTACGGCGAAGCCACTTCTGTGCATATGGGTGTCGTTTGGTGGTTGCGGAAATACGGGATTGGACAAAGAAAGCGTGGCAATGCGGTCCTAGAAAATCATAGAGTCAAAAGGTTCTAGTCCAGGACGGACGCATGCGGTTGATTTGAGTACAAGATTTAGGGGGACTGTGAAGCATAATAGAGAGTGGTTTGTGGGGAACGGTTCAGCCTTGTCACTCTCAAACCTGACGTAGGACGAGCGAGGCTGGCGTTGTTTAAAAGCGGCGTGGGACACGCAGATTGAAGTGGCCGCGGCCCATTCCGCAGCCCAACAATCCCATCAACGTCTTCATTTTCATCCATGCTTTTCATTCAATTGCAGACTGCATACGAAGGTCACAGGCCCTCTTCTCCTTCCACTCGATGAGTAGTCCCCGAATCACCACTCCGCGGCAATATGGCGGAGGTCATTTCGGCGCCACCGCAGGGCGATCTGACATTCGTATGCCTCGATTCTTCAAGCGGTAGGCAACAGGAATGGCTTCCCTATAGAGACCATCGTTGACGGTGTGGTCTGGCAGGCTCTTCAAATTCCCTCAGATGGACTTTGAGATGGCCGTCTGGGAGATGACTCATCTGCTAATTGCGCCAAAAAAGGTCTTCAAGTCCATCTACTATCATAAACGTGAGTCGAGAACGTCTGTACTCCTTGTCCTCAGAGCTGACTGCCATGGTTAGAGACGAGAAACACCTGGCACCGACCTGACCCGTCCTTCACCTATCTTTTATCCTTTTTTCTCTTACTCACATCCTTCGCCTGGTCGCTTGCCTACACGCCGTCCTTCGCCTCAGTCGTCAAGCTGGCCTTGATGTTTGTCGTCATTCATTTCCTGGCAGGATCCCTGCTTGTATCAACGTTGGCATATTATCTTGTCGGCCGACTCTTGGGACCTGGAATCGCCGGACTTCCCGGTCGGAGGCGCCAACAAGGACTATTCGGCCCTCCAGGAGGATCAAGAAGAGCTGAAGTGCTGGAGTTCGGATACTGCTTCGATGTCTCGATACGAGCGTTCTTCCCACCATACGTCTTGCTTTATATCGTCCAATACATCCTCATGCCTGTCATCAACCATCAAAACCATGCGTCGACCTTCTTCGCCAATATACTTTACCTTGCAGCCGGGATATATTGGAGCCTAATCAGTTTTCTGGGATATAATGCCCTGCATTTTCTACATCATACACAACTTCTACTTTCGCCGATGTTAGCCTGGATTGTGATATGGCTGGTATGCACGATTCTGAACATCAACCTTACGACTTTGGGGACGAGATTGTTATTTCTGGGCGTCATGGGCTGAGAAAAGTCCGCTTGTCAAATCCGAAAAATGATATCTGGTGCATAGAAGGGGCGAAGTGCCACAATCTGAATCGCAGATTGAAGGGTCTAGAAACATCATCTTGCATGTGTTTTCCGGATCGCAGGATACCGGATGCATGAGCCTGATAGTAATTGACGACATCCTCTTCACGGTCACCCCGATCTCGGTGTATCAAAGTTGTGCCAATCAAGGTGTCGGATTCAGCATTGACGACTCTGAGGAAGCCCATCTGGGTGTGAAATGGAAATATCATTCCGGATATGCCATCCAATGGTGGCCTGGAGCAGCGCTCCCACCGCGAAGTACCCAGTTCGCGTCCCGTGGTCAGATGCAACATCAAACGGGTTGATCGAGATGTGGCTCAGCATTCAGAGACATGCCGCCCGATTCGACCCTTGCTACAGGCGTGGCGTTCGGTAGCGGGGGAAAGCTAATGCAGGTCCGTCGAATTTTTGATCTTGGCCAGCCCGAGGTCCACTGCAGCTCCAAGGGGCTGGATGATCTTGTGCTATTGCCCAGTCTGGAGGACGGCTGAAGGCTTTGATGAAGTCAAATTATCCTCTCGGGTTGGCGCAGTGCGAGATGAAGCAGCATCCTGCGTGTTCGTATGTGATCACAAAAGCTTTGATGAATTAACGATAGCAATCGGTGACTGAAATCATGTTTCGGATTGCGTTGGCACCGGGTCGATTGTCAGACTTCTACACGGAGGTAGAAACACCGCAAGGGAGAGGACCTGTTGCTCGGCAAGACCAGCATTACTACGGAACTATTATTCGCATCCTATGGTAGAAAACCAAATCAACATAGGTACTGTACAAAGTATGTACTTGTTACTTGGTAGGTAGAATTAGCAAATTCAATAAGGCAATACTTGAACCAAAATGAAAGACACAAAGCCCGTCGCCATGTTCTATTAGGTATCGCGTAATGAAGATTCCAGGATTTCTAGCCTGGAAAAGCTAACAACCAACCAGTGGTTCAGGGGAGCTGCAAGGGGATCCTTGGGACCCAATCCCCCCTGGCGCAAGCCCTTGCAGATGTTGTGCCCCCTTCCCCCCCAAAAAGCCCCCAAGTGCCCCCTATCCATGCATTGGTTGCTGTTAGCTACTGGCTCCAGGGGCTCCACTGACACCTCCCTCGCTCTCCATGCCTATCGCAGTGAGGGACGCCGAACTCAGACTGCGACTTGTGCTTGTTTCCTGCTGTCCCTGGACCATTTTGATCCTCCCGTAAAAATCATCCAACTGCACTCCGCGATCAGATCTCATCCATATTCTCTGAATCCTCGACCTATTGTTGCTACGCATGCTGCCCTAGAGGCAGCTCGCAAAAACCCTTTCCTCTGTATATTCCGCGTCGATTTCCTTCGCGAGTGGGACATGCACTGGGACACAGCCGAACCGGTGTCAAGTCGTGCGACATTTCACGAGAGATCGAGGAGTTAGCTGTCTCAGACAACCACGCGCACCGCTTCTCTCCGGTCGGAACCTGGATTTCAACATCCCAATCCCATATTCCCATAAACAATGACCCCTCCGTCGAGTTTGTCCTCACCGAAAAAGCCAAAGAGTCCTCGCCGCCAGTCCTCAAAACAGTTTACACCCGCCGAACATCCAAAGCCATATACCGGGGCCCTGCCTGTTTCTCCTACCGTCCAATCTCGACCGCTTCGACAAGTGAATGGGGGCTCATCGAGCAGACAGATGGCGGGACCAGGGACGTTCCTGGCGGAATCACCGCCTATGGACCACATCCACGACAACGACGAGGTCGAGGACCCCCATGATCTGTCCTTCTCCAGCAACCACATCTTACGCGCCTCTATGGTCGATAACTTAGTAATGTCGCTCGACCAGTTTTCCGGCAATGTGTTCGGCGACGCTCCATATACACCGCGTAGCAACAGTTACGACACAAATGCGAGGATGCGGAAAAGAGGACATACATTTTCTTCTTCGACGTCTTCGGAGAATGACGTCCAACATATAAGATCTATGCCCCAGATGCCCCAGACTATCCCTCGAGTCCCTGTACGCAACAGCGTGAGATATCAGAAAGATCTGCAGAAACTGCCTAGCATATTTGGAGAAGATGAGGATTCGGTGCGCGCAAAAGTCTATGATGCACAAAGAGCGACCCAGCCTCGTCACCCCAGGAGGAAAAAGAACGTTTCTGGTGGCGGTAAAAGCACTAACAGCAGTGCTTCTTCAAGCATTGACCTCGGCCATCTGGCCAGTCTCACGGGCCGATTAGGAGGCCCTGGAAACAGACGATCCCGGAGCTTCGATTTCGGCGCCAGACCACGAGATTTACGGACTAGCAAAACTCTCGTAGGTGCTGACGGAGCACCGACTCCGGTGATATTTTCGGGCCCAGAGGCTCAAAGCGCGATACCAGGAGGATCCTCTGGCTCATCTCTTGTGCGGAAGAACAGTACCAAATCTTCCAAAAGCGCGTATGTAAAGAAAGGCCGAGCGGCAGCACTAGGATCCAGCTCTGTCAGAAACGAGTCTGTTCCCCAGTTACCTTCGATGAAGAGCGTACCGAGCTTCAACACAACGGAACAAAAGGCGAACATGGGATCTCTTCACGAGGCTATTGCAGCACCAAGGCCTGGCTTCTTTCGGCGTGTTTTTGGCTCCTCTAAGAACCCTACTGTAAATGCTGAAGCAACCCCACCACCCAATGTGCTTACCAAGTCACAGCATGGGCGAGCGACTCCTGT